CCGTCATCTTTTATATAAAATAAATAAATAAATAAATAAATAAAATAACATACTTATGATTCAAATTATTTTAACAAACTATTTTTAATTTTCCACCTCTCCTCAATAGACATGGTTACAATGTTATTCAATCAGGCCCTACAGGGAGTGTCTCATTGGTTACAAAACCTGTCTTGGTTACAAAACCAGGTCTTTTCCTTTCCCACCATTGGCTGCCAGTAGGTAAAGGGGGCTTTTGATGCGTGCATTAAAAACTTCCCCTAAGATGAGGTCAGTGGTTTTCCATCTGTGGTAGGTCTCCTTCTATAGTATACATTGTAATTCTAACTAGCACTTACAAGATTCTTTTTATTGTTACTTTCTGTCTCAATGTAGGTGTAAAGTCCCATTTCTTTGTAAGGTAGAAGTCATGTCTGCACATGGAAAAAGTTCAAATATTGGTTGACAAATCAAAAGCTAATATATAATTTAAAATGTGGTAGCAGAAGACAGATAATAAAAGAAAATTTAGGATACAGGCCCTAGCATGGAAGGATTTACAAAACCTACTTATGAATTTTATTGTTTCAAGAACTATTCACAATGTGTCTGACTTGACACAATAGATACATTTCCTTAAAAACATTTAAAATTATTTTTTATAAATCACAACTCCTTACTTACATAAGTTCAAAAACATATTCAATTTGGATGGACGTTCAATTTACAAGGGCTTTTAACTAACTTCCAGCTATCTGATTTGAGAAGAAATAGAGAAAAAAATCATTTCTAAACATACTTCAAATTTGCTGTGAATTGAATGTCCCTCCCAAACTCATGGAAGCTTAAATTGTGTCCCCCAAAGTTCCAGGTATTAGAAACTTGGTCCCCACTGTGACAGTGTTAAGAGAGTGAGAAATCCTATTATGGTAATTGAAAGGTGGGGCCATGAAGAGGTGATTAGATTGTGAGGACCATGCCACAGTGAATGGATCAATCCATTTGATGGTTTAATGGTGATCACGGGTGTGGTTCTCTTCTTTAAAAGAAGAGCCAGTGAGGTTAGTCTCTATCTGCTCAGGCATCCACCATATGATACCCTGCTTTGCTATGAAAAGTCACTGCCCACCAGCAAGGCTCTCACTGGATGTGTGACCTGGACTTTGGAATTCCCAACCTCCAAAAGTGTAAGCAGTAAATATTGTTTCTTTAAAAATTACCCACTTCCAGATATTTTGTTATAAGCAACAGAAACGGACTAATACAAAATGCTCAAGGATGCCTATAGAAAACATGTAGAAATAGTTATAGCAGTCTATCAGATTTCCCTAAAACAGAAACTTCAAATTATTAAAGGAGTTATAGTAGTGAAATATAAACGAATGCACTTACCTTCTCTAGGAAATTAAATATTAATCTAGAGTCTTTCTCTGTCCAGGACTTCTAACTCAAACAGAGACCAATTTTTAGACAGACTCTTACACTAACTTTTAGGTTTCTAGCAGCCATGATTATGTTCAACGTAATTTTTAGGCTACAGAAAATATGTCTCTTTCCAAAACTGGCCACAAAATAGTCCTGAGTGAAGCTTACTAATTATTAATGAATTTATGAAATTCAAACTGCTTCATAGTAAGGTTCCTGATAAGTTGGGGGGTGGGGGGTGGGAACCCAGCTTTCTTATTCAGTTCTTTCTTCCAAGTTAGATAAGGATTCAATCTCAAATTCATGTTCCAAACTACAGGATAGTTAAATGCCTGACTTTAACATATCTCCAGAAGTTTAGGTAAAATCATATAATTACAACAACCAATAGCAATTTAAGATTAGGAGCTGGCCAGTTAGCCCACTTGGTTAGAGTCACTAAGGTCAACGGTTCGGATCTCCTTACCATCCAGCTGCCAAAAAAAGAAAAGGAGATTGGCTTATGTCAAAGGATTGCATTTCTATCCTGGGTTAATTCAATAATGTGAACTTTGACATAAGAGTTTTTTATTAATCTTAGTTTTAAAATCATAGGAGTCTACAGTAGAAGATGCCAACTGTTTCCAGTTCTCTCTCACTAGTTTTAAAAATATTTACCAAAGTCAATTGTTCAGATCCCCATACTGGCCAGCCACCTTAAAATCATAGGAGTCTACAGTAGAAGATGCCAACTGTTTCCAGTTCTCTCTCACTAGTTTAAAAAATATTTACCAAAGTCAATTGTTCAGATCCCCATACTGGCCAGCCACCAAAAAAACAAAAAAAAATAAAAATAAAAATAAATTGAAATCACTTGATCACATAAACCAATAAGAAGTCAAACACATCAAAGGCAAAAATCTACTGAGGCACTACATCTTATTTCATAATTTATTTCTCCATCCCCAAAAAAGCCATCATCTAGGTATTTACAGGGCACTATGATTACTGCAACATAATACACATACATAATATTTTAAGAAAAATCTTAACACCGTTGACACCATAGCATTTATCCATATGCCAACAGAAGCTTTTAAGTGTAAAATCTATACTAGACTCTGATAAGTGGGCTCTACATTCAACCTCTGATTTTTAAAAGCTTCAATTTAGCCAACATTATTTAAATTAACTTTAGAGTGATTTTAAGTGAGTCAAGATGTACATGCTTCTACTGAGAAATTTCATTAAATGTGCATTTTAGTATACAGTTTACAAGCCATGAAAGCATGAGCCCTAACCTAAGAAACTGGAGAATAAAGTGCAGCTACAAATAAATGGTGCAAGAAATCAGAGCAGACTTCATATTTGAAGTCTAAATCCAAAATATGCATTATGGTTCTTAAGTCCCAGACTTGGAAAGAGATGCCAACAGTAATTAATAAACTGCCTTGTAAGCAGCTAAAATTCCTCAAACGTGCCAAACGTGCTGAAATAAAAGACTCAGATTTTAGTAGAAGCTTATGCTACCTCAACACAAATAAACACACTGATAAGGCTTGGAACAAAATTACCTCAGTCACACCCAAATGCAACAATTCATTTGCAAACTTGTTCTGAAGTAAACTACTCCAACTAAACCATACTGAAAAGGAGAGAGAGCCTGGATGAAGTAAACATGCTATGTGAAATACTTGTTTCATGTTGGCTTCCGGTTTAAAAAATAAAAAAAAGCCACATCTCATTATTAGTATTTGTTCTGCAAGAATAATCATCAAAGGATGTCAACATAGACAACTGGAGACAAGAAACATCACAGACTTCAGGGAGCCAATTTTCACAACCTTGAGTTATTAAATGCAGTTGTGAAAGTTAGATGAGTTAAAATACAGGCAAAGTGCTTAGCACAGTTACTTTGCTTATAGTAATTACTCAACAGTCATTAACAAAAAATTTTTAACTATCCACCAAAGCTCAGTTTCAAACCCTATTGACAACTAACCACAAACTCCTTTTCCAGCATGACTTCTACGGACGGTGCAAAGAAGTAATGAATAAAACACACTTTTAAAGCTACCCATCTTCAAGATGGGTACCATCTGCAAGTTTGGTACAAGAAGTTATTGTCCCAAAAAGGTACAATAACTTAAACTGCTTTCAAAACCTGTATTGGGCTGTCATGAGCACGAATTCAAAACCTGGCTTAAAAAGCTGGTAAACTGGTTAGAATTCTCATTAGGACCCAAGCCAGCTCAATCAGGGACAGTTAAAAGTCAAAGGAGTCCAAGCCCGGACCCATCTGCTCCACTTACACAATCCCTGACTCCCACAGAAACAGGCTGAATCAAAAGCAGGTGCGTCCAAAGTGCAGGTGAGGACGTACCGGGTTGGACATCGCCCTCGGGGATTTCCTGCAGAAACAGAGACGCTTCCCCTGGCTCAAGTGACTCAGGGCACCCGGGCCCTCAAGAGTCCTCGCCCCCTCCCCCCCTGGACCGCGTGAGCGCCGCCCTCGGCCCCGGGGCCGCCTCCCGCCCCCCACCCAG